GGCAACAGATTTATTATTACAATGCAAGATGATCTCACAAAATTTTCTTACGCTAAAGCTGTCCCAAATCATGAATCTAAAACTATCGCAGATAAGTTTTTAAATTTCATATGTCAATTTGGAATACCCTAAACGATTTCGTTAGACCAAGGCACAGATTTTACTTTAAATCTTATTAAAAACGTAAATAAACTTTTCAAAATTAAACATATCCTCTCTAGTTCTTATCATCCCCAATCAAATGGTGCACTTTAACGTTCTCACCAAACGTTAAAAGAATATTTGAAACATTATATTAATTCCCAACAAAGAGACTGGGATGAATATGTCTTTTTAGCTATATTTACTTATAACATCCATTTTCATAACTCTACAAATTTTACTCCTTTCGAAATATTACCTAGTCATAAAGCTTACTTACCGAATTCTTTAACGTCCAAAGCCGAATTGCGCTATACGTACGATGACTATTATAATAATTTAAAGTTAAGAATGAATAAATCATTCGAAATTGCTCCGAAAACATTGTAAAAACAAAGGAAAATTCGAAAATATACTAAGACAAATCTCCAAAACAACACATTTTTAAAGTAGGAGATTATGTGTATGTGCAAAACCTTGCGAGTAAACCCGGTGTTTCGAAAAAAAATATCACCGAATTATAGAGACTCTTATCAAGTTATTAAATTAAATAAAAATCAAACGCTTAAGGAATTGCTAAATGATAACAAGTCTGCCACATACCATCATAACTTATTGAAGCCTTTCTTTTCAGATGGTTCTACCGATAGTAGTAACTATCTTTATCATTAATCCGACCTTGTCATTAGCATTTACAGAAAACAAACCTTACCAAATACCAACTTTAAATATTACTTCAGACATATTTTTTCATCATACAGATAATGTTCGAATTGCTAACAATTATTTTACGCTCTTATCGTTTACAAATATCACTGTTCTAGAATGAAAACTAAAAACAATAAGATGTACGTTGTTTCCTTACCCTTATACAAAAATACGAACAAGAATGATAGAACATACAGGAGATTTTCCTTAAGTTGTAAAGAAACATTAGAATTAATAAAAATCGATTTGGATAAACTGCACGATAAATTCGATTCAATTTGTCATTTAACAGGTCATGATATGATTGATCTTGATACAAACAAGCGCAATAATTTGTTCAACAGTGCTTCTTACGCTATTAAATGGCTATTCGGAACTCCCAATGTCGATGATGCAAAATATTATTCTGAAGCTATTGAATCAATTTCTGAACAGAACCATAATATGCAAATTCTTATGAAGCAACAAGTACACATAATGTCTGATGCTATATCTGATTAAAATCGTACGGCACAAGCACATTTTAATCAAGAGCGACTTAATGACAACATTAAAAAATTTAATAACTTTTCTCTCTCAGCAACAAAATGTCTAAATTCTCTTAACTATGCACAAACGGTCACTGGACATCTCAATTTTATATCTCAGTTAATTAACGAACAAACAAAATATAATTCACCCTTCTGTAATCAGTCCTCGAAATTTAAGAGAAGAGTTTATAAAAATAAAAATAAATTCGAATTCTGAATTTCCTTTCGATTTAAATGATTTTGATAATGCATATAAATATATCGACATTTGTCGTCTTTCAGTCGTTTACGTAAATCAAATCATTATTTATGTAATCAAAGTTCCATTAGTAATTAAAGAACATTTTAATTTATAGACTCTTATTCCTTTTCCCAGTCCTAGTGCCGAACCTAATATGTATTTATAAATTAACCCTTCAACCCCGTACCTCTTATTAAATGCTACTAGAAATTATTACGGCGCACTTCACGACTTGTCAAGATGTCAACGTGCCCCGCCGAACGAATATATCTGCACAGGTGTGGCTACCTACATTGTCCAGGAACGCCTCACATGTGAAACAAAGTTACGTTTCCAAGGTACGAACCATTCCCGCTGAATGCATTACCAAAGTGATAAAATCAAATAGAGAAATATGGCATCCACTAAATTATAATCAATGGTTGTTTATTACTTGCAACCCAGTTGTTGGAACTATAGGTTGTAATGAAAATCACAGGACAATTGATGTTACCTTTTGCGGAACTGGAATATTGGATCTACGACAGCATTGTAAATGTTACACTCTTTTAACAATCTTGTATGCTACGTCCAACAGGACCTCGAACTTCACTAATTACATTCCGACTGTGGACATCACTACTGACACTTGCTGTCTCGAAGAGCAGGAATATTTGTCACACGTAGAAATGGAACCCATTAAGTTGACCGACCTCAACTTGAACGAGCTACATCAAGTCAAGAACAAACTTCAACAATTTGATGATGAACTAGAATCAACCAACTATTCTACTTACGACTTTCAAAATGTTGGTGTCAAATTTTTTGGTGTCCTCGCTACGATTAGTGCCTCGCTGTTGTTATGCTGGTGCTGCTGCCGAGGATGCAGATGGCCATTCCCGCTTTCTCGCTGATTACGACAATTTTTTAACTCCACAGGTTGTAACTGCATGATTTGCATTAATAGCTACAACAATGTCAACCAAGGAAGTATTTCCGCCTACTCCGACTCTAGCCTCGTGGAAATGCGTTCACTTAGTCGACGCCTGGCCTTACCGACGCCGACGCCGAGAGAAATAACTGCCGCCTTCGACTACGTCGTATACGATGAATTTTACGAAGAGGAACCAGTAATATCCTTCAAAAACATTTAACATTTCCTATTTTTAGAATCATAACTTCATACATAATAAGTATATATCCTATATTGGCACATTCTCTTTTGTATATATATATATATATATATATATATATATATATATATATATATATATAATATAATACATAACATTAGAGTTGTACAGTAGCGGAGTTGGATCTCCCTAGAAAAAAGTTTCGAGACTTTTTCAGTATTATATTTGGCAATTTTTATTTCCTTGAATTCTTTGAAAATATTTATGATAGATTCTGTGAGGTTTTTAATATAAGGTATCCTTCTGTAACACAACCGAGCGCCTGGTTAATCTGTTGGACCGTCAAATGTGTTGGAGTTATAGATTAATCTCTTAAGTATATGTTTTGGCTATCCATTATTGACAAAAATGTTGAAAATTTTTTTCAGGTTATTTTGAACAAAACTGTCATGGCTCAAATGTGTAACTCTGTTTTTCATGCCTATAATTGTATTATATTTTTGGCTCTGTGGATGAGAGGAATAATAATTAATAAATCTACTTGAGGCAGTTTCTTTCTGGTACCAATCCAAAATAATTTCATTTTTGTTAGTTCTAATAACCTTGGTATCTAAGAAGGAGACATATGAGCATTTTTCAAGTTCAATTGTGAATTGTAGGTTGGTGTTGAAAGAATTAAAAATAGTCAAGGTTATATCTGTTTGGTCACATGGTAACGCACAAAGAAGATCGTCAACATATTTATAAATAAAAGGTAAATTGAAAGGTAATTTGGGTATAATTTGATCTAGTAAATGGTCCAATACTAGGGTAGCAATTATTGGACTGATGGGAGAACCCATTGGGGTAACAAAAATTTGTTTGTAGAATTTTGAATTGAAACTGAAATAGGTGTTATCAAAAATAAATTTTATAAGTTTGAAAAAATTTGTCTTTATAAGATTAGTGCGTTCTTTTTTCTTTTTCCATTCATTATCCAAAATCTGATTTATCAATTCGAGAGGAATATTAGTAAAGAGCGATAGGACATCCAATGAAATCAAAACATAATTGTTGTTGATCAAGTTGGCAAAGGTAAATGAATCTTTTACATTATAGTCATTTGTGTTTGTAAACGTAGTTTTAAGGATATTAGCCTTAAATCTTGATATGTTGTATGTAACAGAGTTAATCGAGCTTACTTTTGGTCTCAGGGGGATATCTATTTTATTGATCTTAGGCAAACACTACAACTTTGGAAAGGATGAATTATAGATCGATAAGTTAATTGTATCGAAGTAGTAGGGTCGCGGTTAAGTCGTGTGTAGGTGGTTGAATCGTTTAATAATTCCAATGTTTTTTGAATATGTGTGGTTTTATCCATAGCAACAGTGCAACCACCCTTGTCCGCTTGCAGTATGTACAAGTCAGGATGTGCATTCAATTCTTTAAACATTGTGTAGAAGCGAGAACAACCATTACTATTATTGTTATGCATGTAGTTTGTGAATGCATTTGCAACTTTTGCCCTCATAATATCTTTAGAAATGTCCGGTACAACATCAATAACATTTTCTATGTCCGCCAAAAAATGTTGATTTAGAAACTGATTATTGTTGGCTGGTACGCTAAATTTGGGACCGAGTGATAAAAAGTCGGATATATTTTTTGGAATTTCAACGCTAGAATAATTTTGGAACCATTTTTCATTGTTATAAAATAATACATTTTGCGTAGATTGACATTTAAGAAGCAAATTGAATTTTTTTATATTAAGCTTTTTTACTTTATTGAAAACCTTCTTGTATATGAGTTCTAATCTACTATTATAATCTTGTATAATATTGTTAGGTATCAAGTTAGTTAGAGATTGCTTTATATTCTGTCATGTCATTTTTATCTCAAGGGACAATATTTTAAAACTAATGTCAAATATAAACCTGTCTATCCTGTTTGCTGTCGATATATCATTAGCAACAATTAATAGTCCATGTATCTTTTTTCCACTATCTTGAATGTGTCTAGGTGTCAATCTAGATTTTCTACAACGTAAGAGGAAAATTCTTCTATTATTGTTCCTTGCTAAACTTCTGTTCAAATTTGCCCACTGCTTCATCAACTTTAGGGAGCGAAAACCTAGAGTTGTCCAATCACTTGATAAAAACCCATCATCAATGCTAACACTTGGAATTTCTTCTTATATCGACCGTACTAAACTTATTTGATTTCAAAGGATATCGGGTAGCGGTCCGTGGTTAAAAAAAAACAAAGAAAATAGAAAGCTCCTTTTTCTTTAACACTCAATATTTCGTTAATTTATTTGTTGACTTCTTCAGGAGTGAACTAAAATTTAATGAAAACAACAGGTCAAACTATATAACAGACAATTAAAACAATCGTGAGAAATACTTACAAAATTACAGTCTACAACATCGTTCCTCAAAACAATACTTTCCAGTTAAGGTAAATGAACGAAGCGACATAATGAAACAAACGGATAAATACTTATTATACAATTCTTAATAATGGTAGGCAAAAGTTGCGCTTGATAAGTTTTTTGTTTTTTTTTTTTAAACTTTTGTTTTTTTTCCCGGCTTCAAAATAAAATAGAAAACGCTCAATTCTTTGGATTTTGATTCGTTGGGTGCATGTGCATGGTTGAAGCACTGTTCCCAGATAGCACACAATATCCCCAGTATATCCGGTCAATGTCCCATTCAAGTCGCATGTCCCGGGACATGTCGAGGATATTCTTAGGATATACGTTAGCATATATATTAAGAATATACTGTAAAATACATCCCAGGGATATCCTCTGAATGGATAGCTTGCGGATTTATTGTACACGATATACCACAGATATCCCCCAAATAGATGACCTGAGGATATCCCCTTGCGCCATAATGGGAACATTAGAATAGAAATAAGGCAAAAAAGTGAAAACCCGTAAAACAAAATGAAACCTAAAAACTTAAATTTAGTTATATGTCCCAAACTGCAGACGAAACCCAAAGCTAAGCGAAGATAACGGATTGCTGACACCGCATCGAAAGCCCTGTTTACTCAATTGTCTATTGTAATATTGCTCTTAATTATTCGAGCCTTTGTATCGGCTAGTCTCAATAAAACTTTATTTCGCTTTCTGTGTAATAAATAAATGAATTTTGAACATTTAAGTATTTTGAACAACTGAAAATACTCAGTTTTTTTAGATTTGTGGTGTTTTGTGATACATTTTATTGAGTTATATGCCCCGAACATTTAAGTATTGCCAACGTTTTTGTGTACATCTACATCGACGTCAATGTTGGCAAGTCCTAAAAAAAAAACGGAATCAAACCTTTAAAATCAACTTCTTTTCAATTTTTTATTACGGACCACAATTGTACCTGAATTAAAATTCCGAAACTTTAGGTAATAATCTTGTTGCATTTTATGTTAATGACCACCCTTGCATAATCCCATTCAAAAGCAATTGGTCACTTTCTTATATCTATGAAGAGACCATACCTACTATTATATATCTACATTAGAAAAAAATTTGTTTTATCAATCGGCAGTAATTCACTTTTATCATCAAAAGCAAAATTAAAGATTAAATATTAATTGAAAAAAACTTGTGCATTTCAAATATCGCCTGTGATGACTTAACCAACTATACCCAATAGGTGAATTCCATCACACGCGAGTACTGGGATAGAATTTTTATAGTCGTACAACCAATTGGACTACTGGACATACCTTTCCAGTATTTCTCATAGTGTGTTGGAAATAACCTAATAAGTAAGGTCTTCTGGTATATCTATATAAGATCCTGTATCCTCACAGTCGGATATATTAACAACCTCTTAACTAGTATAACTGGATATCCTTAGGATGTTCTAACAAATATCCTCCGGACATACGTATCTGATATACTGTGGACGTTCCAATTAGTATCATCGTATATCCTTGAGACGTCTTAAGGATGTCCCTTAGCTGCAACAGTATATCCTTAGGGTATACGCTAGGTGCCGTCAGATGTCCCGAGGACGTTTTACGAACGTCCTTGTGATATTTGGGTTATAATTAATAACTGCATTAACCTCTAAAATTTTAAATGATTGATGAAATTCGGTGTATTTGTGTTATTCTTAATAGATGCGAGTAAAACTTTTTTTATTCACGCCTACAATCCCTGTTATAACGAAAGTTTAATAATTTAATTGTTCATAATTCCTGAAAATGGTTTGGCACTTTTGGAAAATACAATACAATTCAATTCGCCAATTGAAATTGTTGCTGCTAGTTATTTCATATTCATGCAGTGAAAACGCAATGCAGTCGATTATACAATTTTAAATAAAACAAGCATTATTTTAAGAGCTATTCTTTTGGTCACTGATGTTCATTTCTGTTACATTACGTCCCGAGTGATGAAAATGATAAGAAAAATAATCGCAAAAAGTAGCTCTTGTTGGAGGTTGTAAATCTCCTCTGATTGTATTCGATAGACACAGAAATAGAGTTTCTCTCAATAGAGAAGAGTCCAGTGACGTCATAGTTCGATGCGCGAAATAAGCGTCCTATCTCCTTCTCGCGTTCTTTATCGTGTAGGTGAAACAGTGGCGGCACCTATTTCAATTACGTGTATTTTATTGTTCAGTTCTTTCACCAGATTTTTTAATACCCATAATTTTTATTATTCTAGTACATTGTGTTAAGTTTTAGTTCGTTAAAAGTGAAAATTTAGGGTGAAGGTAGTTCTTTTCAATTTGTTAATGATGAAATGATTACGTGGACATTTTATGAAAAACTAAAACAGTTAAATAAACTATATAAATACAAAGGTAAATATCTCATTTCACCGATCACCCAATCGTCAATATCTCCCAAACCAAAGATAGGAAAAATATTAATATATTTAATCGAATGGGAAAATAAGTTAGGTACAACGTATACGATCTGGAAACCCATAAAAGATACGAAAAACGTTTCCTACAAAAGTTTCTTGGACTCTTCTGAAGATTTCAAAAATTATAATTTTCTTGATAGAGGGTGTCCCAAAAGTGCCCCCCCCCGACATCTTCTTTCTTATTTTAAATGAAACACCCTGTATATATCGACATTTTTGAAATCCTTGGTTGAAATAAAGGTAATTTTCTTAAGAAATTCCCATTCCAATTTCTCATTGCTTAGGCAGAAATTAAGGTTTTTTTTTTCATATTTTGATTGTCTCATATAAAATTGTGTTGTGACGCTACTAATCCAGTTATTGCAACGAAAATTTAACCACAGACTAAGGAGATGATGCACTAGTCAATCAGTTTGACAGATGTGCCGCAGCTTATCCGGAGTGACCCAATTTTTTTGTAGATTAAGACTGATTACAATAGAAAAGTATTAATGGAATCACATGCCATTGTATTAAAAAGGTCGAATTCCTTAAACAAATAACAAAGTTTCGGCAAGAAGATTAAGGTAACAAAAAACGATTGGCAACGACAAAAAACTCTATAGTTTGTCATTTAGTTTTCTGCTTATTAAATAATTTTGTTAAAAATAGAATATGTACGTAAGTAATAGAATGTTGTGCAAAATATGTGACAAAAATATCGCGAATATTTTTGGTTTCTTTAGAGGTCTTCCTGTCATTTTTCCGTTATTTAATCGTATCAGTGTTCTTTGCATAGTTTAGATACCTGTTTAGTCTAGTGACATCCCATAGGGAGTTGTAATGAATATTATCGACACAAAATGAACGCCGGTTTTCTTAGTTTAACACAGTGTAGTTTGAAAAAGGAGCACTTGCGGAAATATTGTCGTGTGTAGAAATTTTCCTCCTGCGTCGGTTTTAGTTAAGCTCTCAAGACGCCAACAGGATGATTGACGAAACGTCAGCAAGTTCGATTCATCAACAAACGGCGCAGGAAAAATCCAGGGGTTCTGTAAATAGTAAAGAGCGTTTAATCTCTGTACCCGAGGGAACTTTATAAAACGAACTGTGTTTTATAACAAAATTTATGATTTTTTAAAGCCAAAAGTGAGAAAGCAATGGAAATAGTTGCGTGATCAGTTTTCTGTTGAATTGGGGAAATATCCTCCACCAAGATCGAGAAATGCCGCAGGCGATACTCATATATCCAGATCGCTATATTTCACTCAGCTACTTTTCTTAAACCAAGAGCTACAACTGTAAATTTGTCATGTACGCAATCTACTCAGATAACACATCGAGGAGAAACTCATGATTCTGTTGAATGTAGTGAGAATAGGCAGTAATGAAAAAGCTTTTGAAGTTGGTGAATAGGAAAGTGAAGTATAAATGAAACAACACCGGTTTCAACTCCTGTTACAGCAAAAAAAGACCCAATGCTTACACCGTTCACAATTCAATACCAGAAATAGAAAACCGGAAAGTAGAATTTCTAGAAATTAAAGCAAAGAAAAATTCTGTTATCAGTGAAGAAGATGAACATATTTCATTCTTTAAAAGTTTAATGCCGCATATGAGCAAAAAACCTGAAAACAGAGGATTCTTTGTTCGTTGTCACGTCCAACAATTAGTAGATAAATTTACTTACTGCAACATGCTTTCTTCTGCATCAACTGTATCGTCCCATTCTCACACGCCTCCTCCTTATTACCGCAACGACAGCATTAATCAAAATGAACAACCTTCGTTTCCTCAAATCAATAGTCAACCACATCAAGGTCAACATGGCAATGCTACTCTATAGAATCTACTAAATAGTTTAACGAATATGGACTAATGTATTTTTATGATATATGAATATTTAGTTATTCAGGTAATCACTGTACTCCCAATATCTTACTCATAGTATGTCAAATATAATTCCTCAAAATTATAAAAAACCGGGAAAAATCAGCTCCTAATGTAAATTCCAAGTTTTCAAAAAATCTTTCATTATCATTTTTCAAACTTTGAAATAAATGATAATGTTCTCCATATATTTTTCTCTCGATTAAGATTAGGAGCATATACACCAACATTCTTTCTTTTCGATTTGGTAAATATGGAATCTAAAGCAATCAAATCGTCATCCGATGACGACATATTTGCAAGAAGTTTGATGCGCAACTGGCAGTACATTTTCTCGCTTATCGGTATCCACTCTGTACTACCTTGGCGCGAAAAAACAGCACAGATCTGGTTACCGGTAAGCGAAAAACCTGCTTTCACTGTGTTTGTACACCAAGCGGGGCTTGCGGGTCGGTCTCTTAGTCATGCCTGTGCTAATGCGACGTCGCCGCTATTACTCTTAAGTATACATGATTTTCAATTTTTACATCAATTGTACTATGCCAACAGCTCCATTATGTACAGCAATAGCATATATTTATTCTAGTGACATTTTTAAATGCTAGCCACCTACGAATTACTAAATACTTGCATCCGCGACGCAATGAAATTAGAACTCACTCAGAGACTTGAAAAATGTAATAAAAATTGCATCCGCGGATTGAAACGCAGCATGCGTATATCCTAAACTAAAATTGTAGCCATTTTATAAAAAATTGCCACGTGAGAAAGGGGTTTTAGAATGGATCGCACCAAAAAAAAGGGAGATCCTCCATTTCTCCAAATTAAGAAGACCAAAATTCAACTCAACATTTATTTATTTATATTAAGTAAACACTGCTGGTTTAAACATGCATGATGCTTTGTAATGTACCAAAACTCTCTAATATACAAGACATACAATCAATATATTTTGCCCTTAGTGAAATAAAAAAAAATAACAAAATAAAAATCACTTAAAATAACTTAAAAAGGCCATTATGAATCAAAAATTGTTTTACAATAAGATTTATTTCAGAATGTGCTCACATACAAATGACTACTATTTCTTAGGCTATTAACATAACAATTAATTTTCTGAGAAAAGTAAACTACATACATTTTTTTGGGTTATGAAAGAGTGTGCAAAAGAATAGAATAGAAGATGCTTCTGACCTAAATTATATTCCAATGGTCTAGCCTATATACAATAATTATATTTATGTTTGCCATTTTTTGGTATAATTACAACTTATGATAAAAAATGGCGAATAAATATTGGAAGGTTTCAATAATTGTGATTATTCTAAGTGTAACAGTCGCAATTTTATGTTTTATAATATCGCAATCAAATACTAATGGTACATACAACTTTGGAAATTCAATTTATTATAATTTATATTGATAATACCAAAAAGATGAATATCAATCTGAAAATCTCCTTAAAAATTTATAAACATTAAAACGGACCTAATCAGGGAAAATCAGCGTTTCAACAATGAAATGACTGGAACATTATTCTGGTGAATCAATTTTTATGACGTTTACTGTCGGTGTCGCAAATTGGCCTCTTTGCCATGATCTGGTGTATTCTTTCTGCAAAATTACAATATATTTTTTTACCAATTGGCTTGTTTCCATTAGACTTATAAAAAAAATAGAAGTTAACAATTGACCACTTAAATTAGTGTAAGCAAATTAAATGAAAATGAAATCAATTTGGTAAAAATATTGCCGATTTGCCAAGTTAAGGTATCTGAATTAATTATAGCGGTAATTTAAACTGGACAAGAAAGTGCCAAACAGCCAAATTATTGAATTTAATATTTTTTTAACAAAACAATAAATCATGTTTAAAGTTGCACTAAACAAGCAACTAAAGTTTATTTTTAAAGCCCTTGTTGCAACAATCGCAGAACATTACTTACTGGTCAGGACTTTGATCTGTGTCACTCTCCTCTAACTCAGTTTTGTTGCGTTTCTTTTCATAAATGATAATTACGGCGCACAAAACAATAACTTCTGCACAAATTCCCAGGAAGGGCCAAAGGGCGGCATATTTATCTAAAACAATTAGAAGAATTACTTTTATTAATTTTAATCATGCAAAATGAACTTTCCTCTATCAAATAATTCTTGGTTTTTGCCTTTATTTTTGTTCCAATATTCTATTTTGATTTAATTATTAATTTATTACCTTTAACTCGAACCATACAGGTTGAATTAGTAGTATCTTTTAATAAAAATTTGTTGTATCCAATGCAAGTATATTGACCCCGATCTTCCTTGTTGACCTAAAACATTACGCACGATTAGGAAAATAAAACAAAAACTTTCGACTTTTTCACTGAACAGTCACATATGGCCAAAATTATTTTAGGTGTTAGCTTAAAAAAAGTTCAAATTAATTAAAATGGTTGAACATTTAAATAAAGTTTATTGTGTTATGGGCGCTGGTTAAAAAGTTTAACGAAATTGAAGACGAAATGACGCCAGAAAGATATTTTAGTGCTAAAATATTAGACAAAAACAAGTGGTAGACGGCCAATTGTCTTTTTTGAAGTGGAAGCAAATAGGGCAAACAGAGCTGAGACGCAGCTACTAAACCCTAGGTTCCTCTTCAGTTTTTTGATGAATGAACGAGGTGTAAAGAAGTAATTTTAAGACGTGTACTAAGCGTATCTAGCTTTTAAACTTAGATTGTGAAAGCTAAGTGCTTTTCCGTTCATATGTAATATTTTAAAAATTTAATTTAATTTTTGGCAATTACGTCAATTTGGTACTTACCTGAGAACTTTGATTTCCAGTTCTACCCCTAGACAATATTGGAAAAATCCTACATTACCATGGCCTCTTGTTAGATCAACAATTACAGGCTTAACATTAAACATGTCTTCAAGGGAGTGAATTACCAATCAATAGCACTTACGGCCGATTTGCACTTTGATGAGTAATAAGTGCCGCAGTGTTTGCTTACATATTCGGTTAACATTTAACGCTCGACAAAGTGTAAATCATCCATAAGATTATGTTGCACGGGTTGTTTATGGCGTACCAAAAAAAAAATGGTGAGCCCACTCTTGGTGATAAAATTGGCTTTACATAAAGTGGATGTCATTGCTTGTTATGTTTTTGAACCAAACCCATACCCTAACTAAACAAGAAATGAGGTACTTTTAAATTTACCAAATTCTTACCTTGTCAATAATCAAAAGGCCATTTACAAATTCCTGACCGTGTTCATCTTTGTAATTAGAAATCGTAACTCTGTCGCTGGTTTCATTAAATGTTTCATTTTCATAATTGCTAGACAGAATAAACCATTCTATATCAGGATTACCCAACGCTTGGCATTCAATACGCAGTTTTTCTTCTTCAACCACATTAATGTTTTGGGTTTTAATTCTAACGGCTACCCTAGCTGCAAACAAAAATATTAAAATTATGGATCTGTATAATAAAAAACATACCAGCAACATTAATCTTTGCGGAAGCTTGCTCCTCTCCATTATCCATTGAACTACAGGTGTAATTTCCAGCATCAGAATAATCGCCGTGACTTATAAGTAGACAATACGAAATACCCGTTGCAGTTTCTGTTTCAGTTGTTCGTATTCTGTCTTTGAGACCATTGATGTCAGTTACGATCTGATCATCCTTTTTCCTAAAATAATATATTATAATCTCTACAGAATTTTGCGGCAGGGGAAATTGTTCTACTAAATAATTGTTGATGGCCCAACTATAACTTGCTGTTTATTGTTATCTAATTTACTTAAATATGTGTAAATGTTTCTTATTGATAATTATTCAGGTAATAAAATTATAAATTTTATTGGTTGGGTTGTTCTCAGGAGTTAATAGTAAACCCATAACTTACCACACCATGGTGACCTTTTCAGAAGAATTACATTGAAGGACAATTTGTTTGTATGGGGCATAAATGACCGCACTGTTTTCAGGAACATCGTAAGTTGCATTTATTGCCACTGCAAAAACGATTGAGTAAAATATAAATAAATATACAAGAAAATAATATAGCGAAAACAATTTGACGCGGCCAATAAAATTACCAAAACATTTGTTTTTAATACCGTTAGGTGAAAACTTCTACAGTTTCAATCATAGATTTTTGGGAACTAAAGGAGATATTTTTAAATAACTAACCAACATAGTTATGATATTTTGAAAATGTTTAGCGTTTTCTCTTCAAATGGCCCAATTTCCTAAAATGATTAACATGATAGGACAACTCCGAATATTTTTGCAGCCTATCTACAGGGTATATATTTTTCTACTCCTTACTCTGAAATACCCAATTATGCACGGATCAAGCGTGCGGAAATTGTCATTTTCAGGCGTTAGTTTCGTTAGCCACGATAGCGAGCCACATATTAAAAAGAGATTAGGTACTTAGATATGCTTGAAAAGACCATTCTTAAAAAACTTTGGAAATTAATGGATGAAACGAAGTTAGACATTAAGAAAAACATATAATTAAAAATTTGAACAAATATACAAGGTACCACCAGGGCAGTTTCAAAAAAAGTGTATTAATAAAAATGTGAGAGATCCGAAAGCTCATTTAAAAAGTTTTTCGCTGTGGCAAGGACGGTGGGGGGTGAGATCCCCAATAGTTAAGAAAAATTCGTTTAACATAATTAAATAGAATACCTAAACATCTTTAGGCTATAGGATGTTTTAATGTTTGCAAATATCTTAGTTTATTTTATGATTGTTATTTCTATATGCAAATATTAGATATGATTCTTATTTAGAGAGCTTTCTTGTCACAGATAATATGACAAGCATCATCATTTTAACATGACAACTCAGTTTTATTATATTATTATGCATTATTTTTATAAATAGTGTTGAAACCTCCGCAAAAACAAATTATCGGTAGAGAATGTTTTTTTTGTCATGTATTTCGTACGTAGATGCCAATTTTGACAGTCGAAACTACCCTTATTCCAAACAAACCAAAATTGGTGGTCGTTATGTCCTTAGATCTATTAAATTCCCAGAAACATCCAGGCAAGGTTAAAATGAAATTAAACTCAACCAAAATATCTTTATATCACTTGAGAGTAAACAATGTGATAATTAAAACGCCATTAATACAGAATTTGAGTACTGGATTTATCCCATTGGTTAAAATTTGTAAATACACACTTATTTGCAACTTTTGAATTTATGGTTTTAATCTTTCATTATTTGTAGATAATCAGAATAATACTATAATGAAATAATTTACGTAGGTAAATCTGAAGAACTGTGTCGCATTCTAATCAGTTTGTCGCAAAATAACTTTATAACCAGGCAATTCAAATAATAAAATGTTAAAGTACTATTCAAACAAGTATAAGCACAGTTATGTGTCAATTAAGGTGTTAATCATATAAACTATCCAATGCTGACGTTCGTTTAATGTTATTTTGCTCTATTGCCAAGTTTACTTTATAGATAATATTTTACCTATATCTAGATAAACCAATTGTTTAAGAAAGTGTCTCGAGACTGGCGGCTAAAATTAAATTACATATTATGATCTAGAAATTATCCATAAATGTTTGGAGATAAAAATTTAAGCATAGATTCAAGTTGCTTGTTCTAAAGGATTTAAGGAAAAATTAAACAAACTTTTGATTACTTATTTAGAAAAGCTTTTAATATAATTAATTAAATTAATTAAATATAATTAAGATGCAAAATTCTTGTTTTACCTGTTAGAATTGTAGAAACTTGAAAAATCAAGGTATTTTTGTTTTATGCACCATCTTATTTATTTTCCGACGTATAGAAAGATTATTTTCCCTCCCCTGCATTTGATATTTGCAGACATGTTGTTTTCGAATTATTAAGCGTAAAATAACTGTCATTCATACTGGCAAAACTATAAACTATTGAGGGGCTGAAAAAACATCAACAATTTTGATATCGAAACGCCATTACCAAGTAACAAATTTAGTCCTCCGTCGAATGATCTTGCTTATTCTTTACGCCACTGGTTTTACCACACATACACGTCCATAAGATTGAAGAAAAAATCTGTCGCCTTTTGATTACTACTATAAGCTTGGTCATTCCCTATTTTTCTTTTATACAGGACAGCATTGGAAGACCGCATAATTTTGTAAAAAAGTAAAATACGAAATTTATGAAAGCTTTTGGTAGAAAATAAATGAAATATACAAAAACACATTGTATACTGCTTAACTCATATTAATATTGATTCTGCAAATTTTTTTTTCTTTTTTTCGTGAAAAGACAACTATCATCTAATTCGGTCAATTTTTGGTTAGTTGGTTAGTAAACTAGCAAATTTTTTTATGAAATAGAACAAAATAATTTTTCCCCAGCATTTCAACGTCCTGTTCCTTCGAAACGAAACATTTTGAAGGCATAAGTTTAGATAAACTTTACTTGTGTTCTCTCCCTGTAATTCGGACCACCCTGTTTAATGAACTGGAATTTTAAGTTACTTTTATTTATTATGATTAATTTTGATTTAACTTTAAAACTAATAGAATTGTATAACTATGAAAGTCATGGGAATCGATGAGTCTTTAATTTGAGTTTGCCTTTACGTTTATTTAAAGCAAAATTAATTAATAACGGATATTAATCTATTTTCCCTTTTCATACTATTAAGTCTAAAAATAAATCATGATAATGTTAGTATCGATTAATCGCTAAAAAATTTCCCGAACAAAGCTAATATAACCTCACTTATATGAAATCGAGGTTTCACATTTAAACATAATTTCCAAATGCTTCGGAAATCTCAATTAGTGTTTACCTTGGATTTCACTCTTAGTAATTTTAATATTTATTTAGTAATATAACCAAAAAATTAGAGAAAACTATTTTTTTTGTCAAAGAAAATACTAACTGAGTAAGTACTCACCGACTGCAAATGTGCTGTGTGCAATGAGAACTGTGAAAACACTATATAGTAAAAATTTCATGTTAATTTCTTTGGAGATGACTATAGTTTTGGATGTATTACCACTCGCAAAAATATAATTTTAAGCTACTATTGCTACTATCACATGCCCTGAGCAACCCCAACGTATCTTACTCCAAAAAATCTTAAACTGACGAATTGATTGAATTAACATACAATACAGAAAAAAAATAGTCACGAGCTCCACTCGACAGCTGCACTTTTACGTAATATAGACAGACTTCATGACGTCACTAGTTGTGTGGTCCGCCATCTGGTGGTAAGTGAAATTAACTGACAGTACAATGAATTGGTTGCATAGCGTATCCTGTCCAACATTTGCCGTTTCTATCAACAGATGCCACAGTAACACAAAATATCTGATTTAGTATTTTGACTTTTTTAAATTAACCCACTGAAAAGTACACCATGCGGATTATGGTACACTATACTCTGGTGCCTGATTATATTGAACGCAAATGAAATTTCTATTTCGCAGATAGATTTCGGTATTTAAAGTGATTTTTATACTTGAAAAATATATAAAAAGCGTGAAAGATATGAGAAATTCTGGGCATTTCGATTTGCTCCCATTGACACAACGTTTTACCGCAGATCTTAAATAAAAATTTTAAGTATACGTTCAGTGTGTATCATATGGGTAACTAAAGAAGCAAATTTTGTCAAGATGGTTTATTGCAGAGAATGTAATCGTAACGTGTTGCACATTTTTGCAAAAGAGGTCGAATACATTCATTCACTGAGTGATCGTCAGAATGGACAAACATCAATACCATCAGTGTTTTAAATCTACCGAAAACATCCGAAAGTGCCGGAGACCGTATTCATTTTGAAACAAGAGCAAACTAAAAATTGGATTAATCAAAGCTTAAATTGTTGCATCTGCACTTACGTTTAAGTATTAAGTATTATCGCGAGGTCGCCAGCAACCGCATGTACGGTACAGGGCATTGGAAATGTTTACCAAGAGTATGATTCAACATTCTAAAATATTTCTTTGCGAAAATAGTTGATTGCGAAAATGTTGAGACTTGTCATTGTCATATCTATTTAGTACATACTAAGATGGTCTACTAAAAGGCAAAGGTTCGGGCAAAGGCTTTTACAACAATTTGCACAACTTATCGAACAATTTTAGTATCGCACAGAATCTCTACAATACACAACACTTTAAGCCACATTTTCAAAATTAAAGCAAAACAAAATAAATTTTACAAAATACAAAATGGAAATTGGAGTTGGGGCTGGAGTTTAAGCTTTACAAGCATTTTGGTAACTTGCACATTCCAACGAAAATAATTTGTCAAAGAAACTTCCAAAAGCTACCGTGATACTATGTACAAAACTTCTGGATTCCCCGGCTTCGGTTCTTGATGAATCAAACTTACTGACGTTTCGCCAATCCTCCTGTTGTCTTCTTCAGAGCTCCAGTTAAGTTTCAGTTTTAGAAGTTCGATTCATCAAGAACCAACCTAAATAGTATAATGAAAATAATTATCTACAACTCGGATAGCACACTTAATGTAGACGTTTATTTCTATTTTCAAATAAACCACGTTTAATTTCGTACAAATTGTGGGAACTATTTTTTTCGCAGAATGTTATTAATTATATTATATTAAATCTGCATTCGACAAAAATTCATGAACCAGTTGCAGGATTTTAATTAATTGTAAATAAATATTATCAATTTAACTACAATTATAATTGTAACATAAAAAACTACTTATTAATTTATTTTTTCAATACGCATAGATAATAAAAAGAAGAAATAATTTAAATTTTTGAAATTAACATAATTAATTACATATATATGTACATAAAATTTTTATGGACTGGAAATTAAAGAAGTAAATATCCTAACTTGTGTAATAAATTTAAGTGATGAATAAATTAAAAAAATATTTTGGCAAAATAAGAAGAATAATTGAGAGATTAAAGTTTTATGTTCTGTTTTTTTGGTGATACTTCTTTTCGAATATATATTCTTCTGCTCACGGGAATTTGGAAATAAAGAAGATTAAACACAATTTTTTCGCTCAGTTTCTTTACTTACACGGTTTAGTGCAACGTTTTTGTTGAAACGAAATTGAACATAATAATATCAACTTTCAATCGGTTTGGAACTACCCAGAGATAACAAATTCTATACTGTTTGGCCGAGCATATTATCGATAAGACAATGTCTGTGGTAGTTCGGCTATTAGCGGAGAACCTTCTTCCGGTCGATAATGCAGAACACTATTACGATAGTAATCCGAATATGATAGTCGAGATTCTCTTAACATGTCCCTAAACTCGTGAACTAGTCTTCGTAATTAATGAATAAAGTTTCGATCTAGTCGCATAATTTATGGTATCGGCTACTCTGGCTATTGTTGCTCTCGTCTGTTTTCCGGAAAGTTGTTTTAAGGAAGCTCGGACAAAGCGCCCGGAGCACGAAATTTAGGGGTAAAACCAATGGAAGGCGCGATTTCGATTTGGACAAAACCCGATAGATATAAATGAGCGTCTACAGATGAATTTGAAATGTTCAACACTTCTCCTAGCACGTAACTACTTTAAAATAATTTGGGCAGCTCTGCAGCCCGAAAATATTTAATATATAATAAATAATAAATAAAATAAATAAGTAATTAAAATATAATTATAAGTGAAAAATATGTATTAATAAATAAAAAAAAAGATTAATGAATCTGGTCTCTTCATTTGAGAACACTAACATATCCTCCAACATTAATAAACCGGTAGTTAATTGCAGCTCTGCTCTTTTCATGACTTCTTTACTAGTGGAACTACTGCTACCTACGCCGTAGAGGCATCTCATTCAAAAAATTCAAAATCTGTTGGGGCATCTGCTTCATTCCCTTGTTTAAGAAATAGTAGCCTATTCCCAGAAACTATATGACATAAGACATGTTTTATAGAGGTGCATTGTCTAACCCACATAGTTTAGCATTTTTGAACTGAACATCAAAAAATGTTGAGAAGTGGTATTTAATTTGTATATGCGAGTCATTTCAACCAATACTTTTAACCAATAGGACTTTGCGGCGTCCAATAATCAACATAACCGGCCGTTATATTGCCTAATAGCCACGTGGTTTGACGAAAGACAACTTGAACGTTGTGGGTGGGCCATTAGCGATTTTTATTCAAATGAAATTAAAAATAGTTCTTTTGTCCCCAGATTATGAAAAATTCTCATACAAGTGAACAATTTATTTTAAAAAAACTGTAGATGTTGCAATTTAACCGGGAATATTAAAAACTGTTATAAATCAAGCTAATTAACAATTTTGTTTAAAAAAATCTATATTTCAAATAACCTAAAATAGCCCCAAATTTACGAGAATTGCTTAAAAATAATTTTAGAGAATACAGAAGTTAATATAATTAACTTTTATTCATCACTTCAGGTATTCAAAATTCCTATTTCTCTCGCTTTTAGTTTTAGTTTATGGATTTTCACACACACACACCTTTCGCACATATGCGAGGTAAGTATACATTTGTGTCTACTGAGCTTTAAAACTTATTCCTTGGATAAGTAGAAATAATACAAAAACTCTCTTTTGGAAATATTAGTTTTTTGGAAATTGTTGTAATCACAATATTAAACGCAATCTACGTCATGGGATTTGGAAAATGACTACTGAAACTAAAACTGAAAATACGCTAAATAAATGTTGGGCTTAGTTTACAAAAGAGCTTGAGAGAATTCAAAAATAAATTTTGTTTAAGAAAATGAATGCTTCCATTTTAATTTCCAATTTTAAGAGGCTGTAAAAACTTTTTTTTTCTAAATGAAACCAACGTACAGTACCATTTTTATATTTAAAAAGATTTTGATACGTTGAGATCGAATTACTTTTTTATGTAGAATTAAATAAATCTAGAATCTTAAAGAACACGCTGCTCTACATAAACTGGTGGGAACGGGGTTGATAAATTAGAAAATAATATGGAAGGGCAAAACTTTGCATTACAAACGAACGTTGACGCCTCGAAACTTGGCTGAATGTTACATTTTATTTAGATAGAAAGGTAACGAGTGGGACAATTTGTTAACTCTTCATTCTGCGGTTTAAGTGCAACATGTTTTAAACAAAGAAGCAAGCGTTTTGATATTTGCGTAAAACAATAATTTTATCATTTTATCAATTTCCTTTCCTGTAATCGTTTCAATTGTCAGCATTGTGAAATTCCATCGAAAAACAACTTGTCTAAATCTCTAACGTCAGATTACTGTACTTATCAGTTTGGTTTTCAAGTTATAGCGTCGATTCGACAATGAACAAACGTTAAGTTTGCGCTTTAGTCGTAAGTTTCGCGGTAGATTTTGTAAGTTATGGTTTCTGAAAACGTGGCTGTAGTAAGTATTATATTATAGTGATTAGAAACATAATACGCAATATGAACATTATATGTCGGTAGCCATAACCCATAACCTCAATCACCCAAACTAAACCAACAAGTCTGCAAAGCCGATGCGTATTGCTATTCCTACAATATTTTATATCAACTTTTATATTTATTATACACATATTATTTATATATTTTTATGAAATAATGGTAGGGACCGTTAATATATTTTTTTAGTCCTTACTTTGAATTCAAGCGTGCGAAAAGTGTCAAGACCCCGTTGCTTACAGTTGCGAGTCGGTTCGGACATTTCTGGGGTTTTTGTCACCAGGTTGTGACAAACAAAATATAATAACTATTTATAAACTTATGTAGGTAGACTGAAATATTTCTAATTATTTCAATTAATTAAAATTAAATGTATTCTTATTTACTTTTAAAGGTTACCGGCGCCAATCGAGGAATAGGATACGAGATAGTAAAAGGATTGTGCAAAAAGTACGATGGTCATGTCTATCTTACTGCCAGAGATGTCGTACGGGGGAATGCAGCAATTGAGAAGTTAAAGATACTTGGTCTCAACCCCATATTTCATCAACTTGACATTTCTGATCAGAAAAGTGTAGATACGTTTAAAGACCATATAAAGGAAAAGCATGGAGGCATCAATATCCTCATCAATAATGCCGGTGTATCATTAAGTGTAAGTATTTACTATTGCTGCTTTGAATGATTCAGTTGCGCATTTGCCTCTTTGCTTAGAATGGTTGTATGGTTGGGTCCAAATTCACGTAATAAATAAAAGTATAAATGGGCATAGGACTGACTTGAAATGTTTATGTTTCTATATTAAAGATTATAATTACCAAAAGACAGTGGTATCAAAAGATATGTACAAGTTATTAAAATTCACAAATAATAATTCTATTTTCTATACATTTCTTTAAACTATCAATGAATGTTTGATAACTAGGGTATCACTGCGGACAAAATGTTAACGATATAATTTGAAAATTGAAGAATTTTTTTTATCACTGTAGACTTTGGCTTTGGTTCAAAATATTTTAGTAAGCAATACACATTCCCACGAGATGTAAACTAAATAATGGCGCATCTTGTGGATAAAATGGCTTCCCTAGACTCATGGCCTGAATACGTTGAATACGCTGAGAACCGCATATAAGCCAGTTATGTAGTTTGGTAGAGACTTAAAACTTTATAGAAAGTATAATATATCATCCATTGACAGAAACGCAGTGGTGTTCACGTCTTTCTGTAGTATACCCAGCTTTTCATATTATTGTAATCTCTTTGAATGTTGAATGTTTCAATACATGGGTCAATAGATGTGTTGAAAGAATCAAGGATCAAAAAGCTGATGAAAGCAGTCGAATTAATTTTTCAAGCGAAGTATACGAAAAATACTTACCACGTGTCTTTTTTTGACTATTAATATTATTTAAATCTAGTCTACTTTTACTTTTCTACTATTCGATGCTTCATATCTTCATACGCTGTAGCTGAGATGGCTAATTATAAAATTACTTCAAACAAATAAGTAGTTGTAAGTAATCATTTTGAACATTATATATTTAGAATGGAATCGAATCTAGTTCCTTCATACTGTACACCATAATTCCTCTGGGCTTTAGTCTTCGCAATGGAATAAATCGTTACTTGTGGCCGACCAATTAAATCTTGTGCTGCATTATTTTCTGAAATAAATTGTATCGTAAAACAATATAACAAAATCTAATTTGGGTATATTTGGATTCACTTCGTGTGGTATTCTGGGTACAACATTGATTTTTTGCTTGCAGAAAGCCCCAATACCACTTTCGGAGAAGGCTAAAAAAACATTAGAGTTGAATTATTTCGGTACTGTGAGAATTTGTGAAGCGTTGTTTCCTTTACTCCGCGAAAATGCGAGGGTGGTGAATGTTTCCAGTTTAGCTGGACAACTGAACCTCATTCCGTCGGAAAAACTCCGCAATCGACTAAAAGATCCAAATTTAACTATTACAGAGCTGAATAACATTATGGAAAAGTTTATCAGGTAAGGACTATTTTGGTATACTAACGAAGAGCTGGTAGGGGCTGTTGATTCTAAAGTCCGTTTGCATATAGTTTTTTTGATGAGTGGCATAATCCATATTCTTCAGGATCATCTTCACGAAGTTCTTTTGCTATTTCTACTATCAATCAATTCCAAGGGCACACCCTTTTTGGAAGATATTTTTCTTCGTCAATTAAACTTTTATTTTCTTAAACAAAAATTAAAAAAATATATTTTGGTTTCGTATTTTCAATTTTAATACAGCTCGGCGATGCCAAGTTGGAAACTGGCAAAAATTAAACTACTTTTAATGTAAACTTCTACTACCTTTTCTATTGAGAATGTGTTACCTTGATTGACAGTTTTTTGTTAGTATAGCATCATGTAGAGAATGTTCACATATAGTTTTACAGCCCATAACGCGGAAACCCACTCTTGCAGCTTTGTATTTCACATATTTGTAAGATATTCGTGATTCTGCATTTTTGTACGAACTTGTAAACATCCAGTGTGCCACATCAGAAAAGGAGAACTTAATTAGAAGTTACTGACCCCTGCCGAATATCAAGCGTCGATTATTTATAGGGATGCAGACCAAAATCGTCACATCGAAGAAGGTTGGGGCGAATCGATCTACGTGGTTTCTAAAGTGGGGGTCAGTGCTTTAACAATCATCCAACAAAGAAATTTCGATAAGGAACTTCCGAATCGTAATATTTCAGTCAACTCGGTGCATCCTGGATACGTTCAAACAGATATGACTGGATTCAAAGGCGAATTGACGGCTGAACAAGGGGCCGAAGCTCCCCTTTTTTTGGCGCTAGAAGCAAATTTGAAAGGAAAATACGTTTGGTTCGATTGTGGGGTTGTTGATTGGGATGGACCCCCGATTGGTAAAAGTTAAAGATTTTCGAGATAGAAATAAATTTAAAAAAATAAATACATGGTCGCCTATTTAATTGCACTCGTCGGTTTCCTTTAGTCAAATCTGATTTGTAAGACCATGAATTTAACGAAACCTGATTATAAAAATTGAATATAAAAAAGGTAAATTTTACATCTGATTTGGATTCTTGATAATAAGAATAATTATTTTAATTGTCGAGCTTGAGGGGGAATTTGGGGGTTTTATTTCCATGGTGGAGGACAAAACACCTGTGGCAGTAATAATGGTGTATGGATAAATGAGCTGTTTCTGTCCAGAAATAACACTGAAACTATATAGTATTTTCACGGCAAAATTCTCTACCAAAGAAGAAAATACTTGCCAATAAAGTTAAAAGTAAAAGAAAAATCCCAACAAAATAACTACTTCTACTCTGAGAGCTAACTGGCAAATAAGTATTATCTGTCTCAATTTTTATCGTGCTGCCTTTTGCTTGCAATTATAGAAGTTACCTGCCGACGGCAATAAAATTCGGATCCGGTAGGTATTAAAGGACAGAACATTAGTGGCGGACTCCAAGGTTTTGGGAATAATATAAATATTTTTGTGTATTTAGGTGGGTACAATTTTATTAAAGTACACTAAGAAAAGACAATGATATTAAATATATACAATAAATTTGTAGCTTGGAATATCTATACATAATTACATTTCAATCTAAATGTCTCAATCTAATTCTGTTTTACTATGAGAGTCGTCATTAAGATTAATTCTAATACGATTTATGTTGTCTTGTATAGAAATGTAAGAGTCCTCAATTTTGATTATGTGATGTACTGATTTTTTCATCTCTCTGGTATTTTATTAATTATGCGACCAAATAATAGCCAATTAGTTTTAAATTTTCAGAATGCGTTGAATATTAAAAATAATTGAAAATAACGAAGCTTGATTTAATCTTAAATATAAAAAAAGTAAAATGTACATATTCCGGCAACATTACGAATTTGGCTTTTCTTTCTTTTTGATTTGGTGAACATCTAAAATTTTTGAATATAAGAATAATTATTTTATTTGTCTAGCTTGAGGTGGATTTTGAGGGTTATATTTATATGGTCGAGGATAAAACACCTGTGGTAGCAATAATAGTCAATCGTCAATCATCCTATTGGCTTCTTCAGAGATTGACTGAAACTGAAACTGTTTCAGTTTCAGAAGAAGCCAACAGAAAGATTGGCGAGATATTAGCAAGTTCGACTCAACAAAAACCGACGCAGGAGAAATCTAGAAGTTTTGTAAAAAGTAAAAATAATATCCAATTAGTTTTAGATTTCCACAATACGTTGAACATTAAAAGTAATGAAATATACAATCACATCTCGAAAAAGTAAGTGTTGGGGATGTTTCCATTATCTATAAACAAACTGTTGCAGCTTCATAATATACCGGCAACATATAGATAGAAGTTATGAATAAAAGTTTCACTAGTCTTTTGACGATATGATAAGTTTTCCAATGTGTATTGGATAAAGTGGTTCCAACCAATGAATTCGTTTATTCCACACATTGGCCGCCTCAATTAGTTGGTATCCTTTAGAAAATTGTATTGATATGTGTTGGTTAAAATATTAACGTATCGCATAGAGTAAAGATTATCAAAAATTGTAAAAAGAAAATTTTGTCAATTAAAAATTACTATTCTAAAGCTAGAAACAATAGCTGGGAATTGTCGTATAGTGTGTCACAAAGTATATCGTCTTGGCTTTTGACAGACCCAACAACCATTAATTAATTCATAGAAACGGGAGAACACAGCGGCGAGTCTGGTAGATGTTAACCACCTGTCGGCTAATATCAGTGGTAGTGTTGAATAACATGTTTTACCGTGCTTTTCAAAAAATACTATTACGAGTTTATCACAACCAAAACAAAATGTGAAAAATATGTATGAATGTTTACTAATTAGAGGATTTCTTAAACAAGAAACTTCACAAAAGAAACCAAAATGTGGAAAATGTGCATCAATGTTTAATAAGTAGAGGATTTCTTACACAAGAATCTTTAAAAGAAACCAGAAACCTACTTACAAAATTTCCAATGTCGTTGCTAAATGTTATTATTATATATTATACGCACTTTTCTTCTGACTGAACGATTAGCGTATTTAAATCATTCAGAGTGCAATTTAATTTATCAAAATTAGTGTAGCACGTATAGTAACATTTTTCTCTTCGCATTAAGTGTTAGCAACAGTCTCTGTTTTATTAGTAGGCTGTTTAAAGGTAGTGCATGTGTGTTTTTATTGCGCGGAGTCATATTAGTTTTTTGTCACCCCGGTGACGTTGATCTGTTGGGAACGGACTGTGCGCACGGAAGTTTTCGTGTATTTGATTGGTTTGTTTGAAGCGGAATTTCTTGAACGATAGTTGCTTTATCATTGTAAAATGAGTTAAAGTTTGGGAGTATGCAAAAGGTGCAAGAGTAGCTCCATTAAATCTGGTCTTAGCTGCATCAGATGCGGTGTTTTGTCACACGTTAGTTGTCTAAAGCCGATAAAAACTGCGATGGTAAATCGGTTACATGTTGTGAAGATGAGGTTGCCAAAACTGAAAAGACTGACGTCGTCTCACCAGTTAAAATTACTGCTGAGGAAGTCCATCAGCATGGCACAGATAAGTTAAAAGTCTATTATTTGAAACAAATTATTAAACAGCAGGAACTAACGATTCAAAATCAAGCTATTGCAATCGAGGCTTTGACAGATCAGATACGATTGTTGAAAACTGTCCAACCTGCAGAAACGACTTCAGTGATGCAAGATCAAAACATCGAAATCAGCGCAACGAGCCGTCCCACAATTCAAAATTTAGTCCTGAGGCTGTGGCAGTTGCGATACAACAAGCTGAAGCGACGACTACTTGTAACCAAGTACAAAATCTCGTTAACGGCAATAGTTCTAAGCAGTTTTCAAAAGCACCAAGAGCCACAAGGTCCACAAATGTCCTGATCGGTACAATGGAGAATCCAGTTTGTTCATTAAAAGCTGTTCAGAAAATCCATCAGTATCACATTACCAAACTTGACCCTCAAACGTCCGAGGATGATTTCAGTGTCTATTTGAATCAACTTTCTACCAATGCGTCGGTGTTCAAACTACAATCAAGATTAAAAATTACCATCCCGGAGGTGGATTCGAGTAAGATTCTTGATCCGAAACTTTGGCCTGTGGGAGTAAGGATAAACAGATTTTTTCCATCCAAGAAGTTTCGATCCGGAGCAAGTGAGGTTTGTCCCACGCAAGAGAATGAACAGTGTTAGCACTTGAGGAAAAATGCAGGAAATCCATACTATATCTACTAATAATTTCTACAGTATTTTACGTATAAATATTCAAGCGTTACATAATAAAATTGATGAAGCTTCACTGTTTGCAAGATTAAATAATATTAATATTTTGTGCCTCTCTGAGCATTGGCTCCACGGCGGTGGGCTTGGGTCGGTTAAAACAGACGACTTTACTTTAAGACCGCATATCAAATAGGAATGTCTAGATGTCGGCGGATTTACTGTTCAAAGTCATGCAGAATTTTGTGCAGTGGAAATTATTGATAATGAGACTGTTTTGCTTACTCTTCTACTTCAGATAATGTATGCATTTTCAATGATCATTTAAACAGAATTATAAGTTTGCTCATAAACGTTATGATAACTTAATTGTAGTTGGCGATTTTAACGTAGACTTAACACAGAAAACCTCTGAATCAGAGAAGTTAAAAAATATATTCATTTCGTTTGGCTTAGAGTTTTTTGTAAAAGAACCTACCAGAAAGTCAGTAGATTCCTGTTTGGACAATGTAATTTCCAATTTTCCTAATGACCGGATAAGTGTCCTAGTTGGTGATCCCGTTTTGTCAGATCATTTGGGACAATTGTAAAACGTATAACTCCGTTCGCCAACAGTCTGGAGCACATTGAGTGGCCCAAACTTGTCAATAATGAACACAGTGGGGTAGAGTTTTGTTCTATGTTTATTGCACAACTTAGGGGACAGTTTTTTCCCAATGTTAACTCAACTATCCATCGTTCGGCAATTAAATGGTTCAATGATAACCTTAAATAAATGCGCCAGCATCATTTCTGTCTAAAAAAAAATTGCCATAGTTCAAAAATTAACCAAGACTTTCATGCTTACAAACGGTTCCACAAAGAATATCGTCGCACTATAAAGGTGGAGAAAAAGAAAACTTATGATAACGTAATTCTGAGTTCAAATGAAAAATCTAAAACGACATGGAATATTGTTAATTCGGAGAGACGGTCTAAGCACAGTAACTATATTCAATCATCAATTACTCCGTTGGAGTTCAACAGATATTTTGCTTCTGTGACAGCGGAGATAACGAAAACGAAAGGAAATTATTAACAGATTCCCAATTTGATTTTCGGCCGGGTAGGTCCACCATCCGTGCCTTATGCACAATGAATGAGCATGTGGTTGATGGGTTTGAGGAGGGCCTGTCGACTTCGGTAACGATGTGCGACCTCAGCAAGGCATTCGAGTGCATGGATACTAATATACTTCTTTCTAAACTTGAATACTACGGAATTCGTGAAAATACCCTAGCCTTTTAAAATGCTATTTGGCCGGAAGAAAGCAATATGTTGTCTGGAATGATCGGGAATCCACTCTGTTGGATATTACTAATTGAGTGACTCAGGGTTCCATCCTTGGTCCACTTTTGTTTATAATATGCATAAATGACGTAGTATTTGGAACAAATGCTGCTTGCAGTGTACTCTATGCACATGAAATATCATTGTTTGAATCGAAGAAAGATCTAATTAATTTAAATAAAAATGCTGCCACTACACTATCCATGATTGAGCAGTGGTTCTCAATAAATAAACTTAAATTAAATTCCGATAAAATAAAGACTCTAATTTTCAATACCAGTAGAAGAAGTAAAAAATCTGAACCGGTCAAACTCCTTGGTCTTTACGTAGATGCGTTTTTAATCTGGTCACCTCATATAGACTACCTGTGCGGTAAATTGTCTTCTCAGGTTTTTGTTCTGAGACAACTGCGAGGTTCTATCACATGGACTAGTATTGTGGGGGAACACAACGGAGGCCGAGAGAGCCTTTAGATTGCAGAAGTCTGCGGTTCGGGTTCTTGGGGGTGTTTCGCCGTCCAGCCACCATGTATGTTTATTCTTCAAACTTTACTTCAAATCCAGTCAAATTTGTCTGTTTTTCCGACCGTGCAGAATACCATGTATGTTTATTCTCCAAACTTTACTTCAAATCCACTCAAATTTGTCTGTTTTTCCGACTCATGCTGGATATCACAGCTACATGACGCAAAAAGCTGACAATATCATAGCATTAAGATCAGGGTTGTGTACTACACAAAAACATGAACTTAATCTAGATTTGTATAATATTTTTGCAAACACTCTTTTTCGGTCCAAAAATATTGATGTTAAACGACTTTCCATTAAAAAAAACAACTATCAAAAAAGTTTTTGGAAGAGCATTGCTTCTATTCTATAAACGAATTTGTTACTCATCAGGCACAGTAGATCTAAGTTATTTTATAAATTAATTATTCTTAGAGTGTACAAAGTTTTAGTTTCTGGTTACACTGGTTTAACTGTTTATATGTAATATATTTATCTTGTTTGTAGTCTGGTCACCATTTAAATATTGCAAAATATACAAAAAACAAGTAATAATTCATTCGTACAGATTACGCACTTGGAGAATTAATTTACCTTCAGGAAAGTATAGACTCGAAAGCGGATGTGTAATTTACCTATCTGAAACTAATCAAATGTAGGAGCAGAAAATGTTACTTCTAATTTATGTCCGAGTATAATAATTTAGTGTAAAATAATTTAATTAAATTATAATTTATTACTATTTAGACTCATATTTATATTTATTTTTTAAAAAATAATTTAATTTTATTCGTTTTAAAGAAGTAAAAAATATTGAAACATATTGGTTAAATCTACATATTTAGGTAAGTAGGTTTGTATTTTACTTATTTTTAAAAAATAATACTCTTGAAAAAATACTACCATTTTCCGACATACATTTTCTAAAACTTAGAAAAATTTGAATTTCTGAATATACTATTTTTTCATTGATTCATTCATTAGATAACAATATGGTAATAATTTCAGCAAGAAATATATCGGCAAATAAAGCACTAAAACAAGGAGAACACCCCATTCTTCCATTTATATAAACCAGAAAGAGAAAGACAAGAATGCCTATCTTCACTGGCAGCTACAAAACACGCCAGTGTGCTGACGTTGCTCATTTAAATACGGGTCAAAATCTTTGATTTATGAAACGTCAGAACATAACATAACAGGTCAGCACAATCTGTCTTGGACTAAGTTCATTGGTTTTGGAAACTATAGAGAGACAGTAAAGTACAGATTATTATTATGGAGGTTGATAGTTGTTTTATCAATTATGAACGAATATGTTTTTACATAATCGCGTCTTTTATTTAATAATACAAATATAATTTTAAAAATCGCAACTTTAAAATTTGTCCTTAATAGAAAACTTATTAATATTTGAAGCTCGCTATGTCATTGACTATTTTTAAGAATATCTCCATTAAAAAAACACAAAACTCGCAATACTCATAGATGCATTTATAGTAAATAGCAAAGTACAACATCTGTTCCAGGTAAATAAAAATATTCGGAATCTAATTGTCCTTTCTTACCGAACAAGGTTTAAATAACATAAGGCAACACTTTTGTTTAATTGAACACATTATCCAATTTCTGCTGGTACCATTATATTGTCTTACGTTCATGCAAAATTAACAAATACAGGTTCGTAGCATAGTGGATTATGTCTGCCTGTTGTCTATTTTTTTACAGATTATAAAAGACTTTAAATTTATCGCGGATAAAAATTCTATCCTGTTTAGTTAGTGGCGTATGAAATGGAATGATAAATTTAATTACTTTAACTTACATCGAAACTTTTTGCTAAAAGTTTTAGTTACAGCTCTGCTTCGACTTGTAAAACTTCAATAAGTTGTAAAGCGGTTTTAAATTTAGTTTTCAATTTCACGCTCACATAACTAAATGTCAATTTAAGAGACTAATAATGAATTTAATTTTTGGATGCCTTCTTGCGGTAGTGTTTGTTCCGTGCAGTTATTCCAAGCCGAAAAGATATTTCATCCCTTATACGGAAGGTGAGAAATAATTGTTGCTCTTCCATAGTATTTATAACGATTTTTTGTTTATATACAATTGCTAATTTAACTAGGGGAAAACGGCATAAATGTAGGAAAATAAAAATACAACAATTTTTAAATTTGATGAAATGAAATTGGTAAATTTACTTTACAATATACTTCTACTCTTAAGTAATTTGATAAAGTTTTCACTTCCATTTTATAGATAAATTAAAAAGTTAAATTGAGTTATGTGAGTTTGGATAAATAATCATAGAAACCCGTTATTAGTTTGCAATAGTCATCATCCCTCTGAAAATGTAGAGTAAATTAACACAAATAAGTGATTGTTGCTGTCTTTATTACGCGCCGAGGGGGTTGGTTTTTTTATTAACTCACGAAAACAAAAGGACGCAACTGAAACACTAAGTAAACTATAAATGTTATGGTTGTGGGATATTTCGTTTCGTAGCAAATTTGTACCTTGAATGACATTAAACTGTTCTAGATGGACTACCTAAACTTTATTCGATGGAAAATTTTTATGACTGCAGACAAAGAAACGGAAAATTTTGCAAAGTAGATGTTTTAATAAAACCAAAGGACCCTAATTCTAAACTCGCAAGCGAAATACAGGTAACTATGTACTTAAAAATTAAAAATATCGGTAAATTTTGAATATATTTAAATTAAACAATATATTTTCAACTTCAGTAAGGAATTTACACAATTATTAATAATTTATTATAATGGAGACCACGACAGTCAACGATAATCTGAAAACCGGTACCCATCTATTATATTATCTACTGATGATGTTTAAATATTTATATAAAGGAAGGTGCGAACCTTATTGGCAATACTGTCCATAGTTGAGTCGAGCGGCAAGTGGGCGATGGCCAGACACAATCCTGTTACATGACGACTTTGATCCCTAGAGAGTCAACTGTAGAGAAACTGTCTTAAGATAAGCCGTTAGTCAAGTCACCAATCGAAGTTGTAAATCAGAGGAACTTCGTTGGTTCAATGGATCCTGATTATTTGAATGCGATATCTTTAAATTGTTTCATATTTGAGTCATTTGTCTAACTGCGAACTAATCAATAATTAATACGTGAAATGTGCCAGAATATTTTCGTAAAAAAAGTGAAATTGAATAATTAAACGACATGGTTCAATTCATTATACAAGATACATGTTTATGTTGGTGGTTTTTAAGATCTTTGTTTCCGGTGCTCCTGTCCATTGTGATTTGCAATTCTAAAAGAAATATTTTCAACAGTGTTTGTTTTGGGGATGAGGTCTTGACATTGAATTTCATGTCTACGTTTTCCTTAAATGTGCTCGTTTTCATTCATTAATTTTAATTGGAGGCATTAATTTCACTGTAGGTGTCTCAGGACTTCTAGGAAACTGAACACGTAATTGCATGTTTGCGACTACCTTTGCAAATGTTTTGCAGAATTACGGTGCGTCGACTGGAATAATGATCATATCCAAATGTAGCATAAACAAACTGTTAACTCCGCTCCTGCAAAAATAATGAATTGGAACGTCAAATTTGAAATCTGCGTATCTCGGTAATGAAAAAATGAAAACCAACTTTGCTAAATTGTGCTTTTACTGGTTAATAAGAATGTTAATAGGCAAATTTTTGTGCGCTAAGAGAATTAGCAGCGTGTTGAGACTCTTCGAAATGTTGCGCTATTGTCACAAGGTAAGTAAAGGAGGAGAAAAAATAATCTTGGGAAAGAGGATACAACAATATGGAACTCCAGCGTGGAACGAGGCAAATACATATAGAATACGATTATTCAGATACATTAATAAAATACAAAATAGCACATTGTACCGTAACAGCTGTGGTCAGGAAACATTGCACACATTATGGATATCAATAGTTTCAGCACTTTGAATCTATATTAAATTACTTTTACATTCTGAGCTTGACTTTACATTTCCTCAGTTTTGTTTTGTAATAACGAACAGTAACATATTTTTTTTTTAAAAACCTTTAAATAAAATTTCTGTAGACCACCAGTTAATTTAAATATTTATGATTGTATTTAAAAAATATTGTTAATTGGGTATACGAAAACGTTGTGGATACTTTAATGGTGCGCTGTTGTGCTAAAAAAATAAGGATCTCACTCAAATTGGGGAATACATAATATATAGTTTTGAGCTGCCTTGTATGTTATATCGAGGTAAATAATAAATTTTCTTTGAGTCGCGATTTAAATTAAATTAAAATTAAATTAAAATATTGAATTTTTTTCCAAAGTTATTTACAATTTCGGGAATAATCCGAATCTGTAAAATATAAAATCTTGATTTGTCTTTTGTTTTCTTGTAAATCCGGCAAAGGCGCATTTATACAAATATTTGTAAAATACAGAATACCGCTGTAAATATAATTCAAAAAATTGTCGATCCTAATCCTTTAGAATTTTTATTGGGGCAGATGAGCAAAAGTGTGTGTAAATATATTTTCTTTTATTGAAGAAAAGCAAAGAAACGAAGTATCGGTACCATAGATCCCACGTTTATAGGATGTTGTGTATTCCATCTAATACTTGGGTCAGAGAACAATACGCGCATAATGTAACCAAGGAAGAACTAAAAGATTTTAATGTTTCTTCCGAAATTTATGATGTTAAGTGTGAGGCAGACATTAGCCCTGACTGGCTAGATCTTCTCATGGGGTATTTGTACCATTAATTACAAGTTTTCAAAATTATTACTGTAATTTTTATTCATTTTAGGTTGTGCGTCGTGGCATATGGACTACTAGTTTTTAAATCATCTTACTATATATATAAGGATAAATTTTCAAGATCCAAATGTAAGTATTATTAATTAATAATAATAAATTTTGTTTACTCTCTACTCAAAATGCTTAATTATATAGATACTTTAAAACGTTAGCTTCATTAAACACTGTCCCGAGTTATTTTTAGCGTTTCCGGTACTTTAGTCGCGGATTTGGGAGCTAAGTTAAGTAATTTTTTACTTTTGCAAATTTTCAATGTTTAATTTCGTCATCTCAAATCTAGTTATCTTATTTTATTTTTTTTATTTTTTATATTTTTAATTTAGGTTTTCATCCAATATTAAAATATTAAAGGTACTATTGCTGAAAAAAATACGTTTTGTGTGGCAGGACATGATAAAGACAGCAGTGTTTCCAAAATAGGTTGAGAGAAAGTTTTTGTAACTTTAGTGTTTTACTAATTTTGGCATGCTAAAACTGATTCTAAAATAATATACGTCAAATTTTGACGGGTACAGGTAACAAAAACAGCAATAACTTTTTTGTAGGTTGATAGGTAGGTAGCTAGACTTGTTTCTTATGAAATCGGAAAAGTTTCCATTATTTTGAATACATAATAGCGATATTTATAAATTCATAATTTAATTTTGTCAAAAATATCGACTGGAAAAATTCTAAACGATTTGTAATGTCTTCGGATTTTAAATTCTATAGTTTTAGAAAAAAAACACCTACGTCAGAAAACAGGGAAATAACCTCGTACATGATCTTTTTAAGTAATATATAAACTCACCCATGTTTTCGGTTTCCGATGCTGTTCATCTTTACCTCGCGTAAACTGTGCGTCAGGTTGATTAATGTTTTAGACGAGAAATGGTATAAAATATTTGCAATTCAAGAAAACTGGAAGAAATTAACAATTGAAAATACAAGCGAAGATTTTCGGACGCTAAAGTCTGTCCAGAGCATTCGATTTTATAACAGTATTATGGTAATTATATGTCATTCTCAAATAACTCCTCTGATACTATATGTGAATAATCCCACCGAATTAGAAAAGGTTGGTATCGCCATACTTTTACATTTTGTAGTTAAAAATTCAAATGATTCAGTTTTTTTCTTGCCTGAAGGGGCTGAAATAGAAAATTTTCTTGTAGTGTTTTTGATTTTTTGTCCCTATTCAGTTGCCGTTTTCAGATTTTATATGTAATTCGTTTTAGCTGGTAATGAATCCTATTTACAACTATAGTCTGCAGTTGGACCTCTTTATAGTTCAGACTTTTATGATGATATCAACATTTTTGCTGACGAAACAAATATACGATATATACCAGAAAAATGGCCACTTTTCTTTATACCATTGCTGGGTTTTGTATGTCAATAGAATATTCAGGTATGTTTCGTCCTGGTTAATTTGATTTGATTTGTTAAAAGTAGCGAGCGACCTTTGAATGTCCCTGATTGCTTATGATTCGTATTTCTCTCTTGGGAGTATACAAAATTCCAACCATTGAATTAACAAAAACATTGAATATTTTGGATGGTACTTGCCAATTTATTTATTAGACATAATAAAATCATATTTAAAAAAAAATGTATATTATATTATTTTATTTTATTTCATGTAAACTAAAGTTTATTTCACAAAAACATTACCATCGGAAATTATTGTACTGTATTATTCACAATTAACGATGCTCGAGGGATTTTCTAAGGGAACATGAGTTATGAAACCGGAGCAAACCTATTTCATTATACAATTTCCCTTTGAAGGTTGAAACTAATTCTTTACGGTAAAATGAGTAAAAGAAATAAACCCAATGCAACTTCTGATTTTCGTTCGAACAACGTAAATTCAAATTTAGTTGGGAAAGTCTGTTATTTGAGAACGAAAAACGCATTCGTTTATTATCTTCTATGTTGCTTTTATGTGGATAATGCTGGGAAAGATTTTTAATTATGTTGCGAACAAACGAATTCTAATTTTTGAAGAATGCTCAGTTTTAAACATATGGATTATTTATACTGAGTACTGATAGAAACAACCATTTCAGTTGATAGTGCATATTGATATTGAATAAAAACATAGTTCAATGACACCAAACATGCTTCCCCATACCCATCTTCTCGTTGCGGGGGTCTTAATTTTGAAAACTTGGTTATTTACATAAGTAATGATACATCGATATAAAATATGATGTGTCGTTATCGATTCTTCAAAAAAGTATTCTATTCTGGATTTTAATTTTTAATTATTTTTTCCATATGATCTTTTTGAGTATTTCCTTTATTTTTTAAAACTTAACTCCAATTCATTGTTTATAACTGCCATGTTTGAAATCATCGACAACTTTAATTTTGGGCCCATGGGTTCTGCTTTACACAGAGAAATTTACAAACGATTATTACACCATTCACCACTTTTTTTTTAATTGAACAATACAATTAATGAAAAACACATTAAATTCATATATTATGGTCCCATTCCCAAATAACGACATATGTTTTAAATGTTTCGAAGTATATCATTGAAAAGAGATTTCTATTTTGAGATTTTGCTTCATTTACATAGTTATGATAAAAATAGAAAGGCAAAAACTGTTTTCAAAATAAATAACAACTAAAAGTTCAGATTTTCATGCCATGTTTGTCAAACATTTGATAAAGACACTATGTTGTCGAAACGATTGTCATGCCAAAATATGTAATTTAGTGAAAATCTGAACTTTTAGTTCTTATTTATTTTGATAAATGGATTTTCATCACGTAAAAGCCACCTCAGTTCAAAAACTGTTTTCTTTGAGAGAGATAATACTTGATATTTTTGCATTTATTTCACTATATAAGTGAGCTAAACTTACTAGTGATGATGTTTGCTTGTTCCTTAGATGTTAATTTATACAAATGATGAAAGTAAGGTTGTGTTGAGCTATAATACGTAATATTAATAACGACAAAAGATATGAGAACGGCGCGGAAATTTATGAGGTGGCATTTCAGATTCTTTCCAACGGTATTAGTTATGATGTTTGTAATGATTCCTTTGTTAAAAATTATTCAACCTAGCCCACAAATCATGGAAATGGTGGCTTTGGGGTATCACGGATGTCAAACCGGTTGGTGGGCCGCACTGTTGCAGCTAAATTTTCTTTTTATATTTAGCGAAATGGTAAGTTATTTGAAATATAGCATGTCTAAGAGTAAGTCGGCAATTTAAAATATAATCAAATTGAATAAAATATTTTCCTGCTTTATTTATGTTTCATCCAAAAATCTGAATGGGTATAATGTAATTTATTGTTTCCTGTGTTTATTTGATGGTGAAGATGTCTATTGTTTCTATTATTAACTTTCACAACATTTCAACTGGTCAGGTGTCTCCATCATCTTCGGGTAAAATATTGGCATAGAGGCAATGGAAGCCCAAAATATTTCGTTTCATCAATAATCTCCTCTTCACATTTCGAAAATATTTGATTGATTGGTCAAGAGTATAAAAATAATAAAAGTAATTATTTAATATACTTTCTAGCGAATATAAATTTATGTTTATAAAATTTTTACCACATGTATATTAAAAACTTAAAATAATTATTAATAAGTTGTGTTTTGTATAATGCGAAATAATAACTTATTCGCAATATCGTCTTACTTTCTAATACAGTTCCAGACCTAACATAATTGTAGAGCAATTTGCTAGCAAGAGTTTTTTTATCAGTATTTTCAGTGAAAGCTTTAGAGCGAATTTAATTTACGTTGAATCGGGTAATTGGCCGATACACTGCTTTTTTTGTTAATTTCCAGTGCATGTCGGGTACATGGTACATATCAGTGGATACATTTCTGTACGTAACTGCTATGTTGATTTTGTACGTGAAATTTAAATGGAACTTGGATTTGAAGGGAGTCTTGGCAGTTGCATTTATAATTACTGCTGGAGTTTTCGGAATAATTATTTATATCAATGATTTGAATCATATGTATACAGTAAATGTGGAGTAAGTACAACTTTAATATACAGAACATTTCATTAAAATCAGAGCGTAAGTCAACTTCAGATTGTACAGTCCAAATAATGATTGAGCCAACGACAGTTTATCTTGAGGGTTTAGGGAATGCAACGTTTCTAATATCAACATTTCAAATATTGTTTTCTTTCATGTTTACTTGAAATTGATATTTTATGGTTTTTTTGTAAAAAAATTATACAATTTTGAAAGACCCTATCAACGTATCAATAAGGTGAACCTCAATATTGCGAAATTTTTATCAAATATTTTTTTGATATTGACAGACATATTAATGACACAAATAACTTAAGACAAGTATTGTCTTAACCATGTGTCTAGTTGTTAATGAAATACCAAGGAGCTTAACTCTTAATCGTGGAGATGATCGCAAATATTTTATTCTTTTATTATTCGATTGTGTATATTACAACTGCTATTGCAACAATAAATTTGGAAAAATGATAACTGTAATAAGTTAAACGATGAACAAATGATGTACAAGTATCTACAAGAAATTGTTAATATGAGACCCAATAATTCCGCACGACACTGGATAAGGCTGTGTAATTTCTCTTGCGAAATCTCCCATATGACAGTTTAAATTGTCTGCCTTAATAAGAAAACTTTTTCAATTATATTTCAGATCCTGTAAAAATGTGTTCCATTCAGACGCATTCAATAAGCTTTATATAAGCCCTTTTTCAAGTTGGTCTACTTGCTGCGTGGGCGTGGCTATTGGAACGATTTATTATCGTTCGAAGAGCGATAAGAGCTTGAAATTCGGAAAAGTAAGATGTTTACATGTTTGCATGATATACAGCGTGTTCCTGAATGGTGTGCCAACACTGAAGGAACACTTCTTAGATTCGTTCTAAGAAAAAAAAAACTTTCTACGAAAGAATAGATAATGCGTGTAAGAATATACAAATATAGAAGAAACTGGTATAAATAAAAAACTATGTTGTGCACCTGAAAATGACTTTTGCTGGACAGAATGCATTTGCAGGATGTCTAGAATCTTTTATGAAATAAGTAATTAAGGAACACCCTGTATAATATAATAAATATGGTATTTAAAATAACGAAAAATGCATTTGTCATTAAGTATTTATCGTGGTCCTCTAGATACATACTATTTTGTGGGCTTTGATTTTCTTTGGAGTTCCCGCTTTGTTGGTATATACTGTTCAACAGGATTTACCGCATACAATTGCGCCAATTTTGGGACCTCTTTTAAAGCCTGCATTTTCTTTGGCGATTGGAATTGGAATATTAGGGACAACAAAGAATATTGGTGGTAAGTGAAATTCATTAACTTATTTGCAGAAGTATCAGTATATTTCAGATGTATTTCAGGAGTTATTCAAAAAATTCTAGAATGGGATTTTGCAGTAAAAATGAGCAACTTTACATTTTGCACTTATTTGTTCCACTTCTTTTTGGTGTTTTCAAGAGGATCGTTCACGTATGACCTTTTTGAATTTAAACCATCCAATCTGGCAAGCAAACATTTTTTTTAGTTACAAGATAACAGTGATAACTGTTGATTTTATGTTTCAGTTCATCTATTTGATCCTGGACGTTTTAGTTTCGTTTGCTGTAGGTATTGCCTGCACTGTATTGATTGAAAAACCGGGCCTCACACTTCAGAAGATGTATATACCTCAAATAAAATATCCAAAGAACACTGCCGATGACAACAAAAAGACTAATTAGGTGTTTACAATGCTGTTAATGAATGAAATATAATTTATTTGAGAAATCGTAGAATATATATCCGTAAATGCAAATACCGAAAACATACACGCAAACATTTTACCTACATATATATATCAATGTTGTAGGAAAATGAATTTTCTTAGTGCCAAAGATATTTACCAGTAGTACGTTAAATATAATTTATTTTTAGCAATATTTGTTTCTTTTTAATCATTTTTCATAATTAAAACATTTATTGTATTACAATAATAATGCAATACAATTTATTTTGAAATACGCAAGGTGCCACTTTAAAACGTCAGCTTCATTAAACACGTTGTGCACAAATTTGCCGGTTGTAGAAAAAGTAATTACGGAATATTACGGAAACACGACATATCAACGGCATACAAACCTGACCATACCATCGGAGCAATACTAAGAAACCCAAAACAAAAAATTACTCTGGAAAACCAAGGAGTATACAGTGTAGCATGCGGATCATGTAGCCTGAAGTATGTGGGACAGACCAACAGAAGGATTTCAGCCTGGCTCGAGGAACATCGCTTAGCCATAAGAAACAAACAAACAACATCTGCTTTATTTCAGCACCAACATCAGACAGGCCATAAAATTGATTTCGGCACTTGCAAACAAATAGCTAATATTCCTGATTTTAGGATTAGGATTATACGAGAGGCCATCGAAATAGAAAAGTCCGGACACCTCAATACGAGAGACGACGCTCTGCATTTATCCAATACGTGGAGAACGATAATCAAACAGCAGAGCCATGCGCAGCAGCCAAAGGGGACATCGCAACTACGATCGGGCGAAATTAACAACGCGACAATTCGGGGGGCGGAGTCACCTTTATACTTTATACTTTATATATATATATATATATATATATATATATATATATATATATATATATATATATATATATATATATATATATATATATATATATAAATAAAAAGATAAATAAAAAGGGCAGACTGTTATCCTCTTCAAGTTCTATTGTAAATTGAATCCTTGGATGAATGGAGTTCAGATGATCTAGGAATTTCAAAAGCTCCTCCTTGCCAAAAGGCCATACAACAAATACGTCATCAACGTATCTTGTCCATAGTTTTGGCTTCAGATTTGCCTTCTCTATTGCTTTCTTTTCGAAGTAAATCATGAAGAGGTTGGCAATCACAGGTGAGAGAGATGATCCCATTGCTGCTCCATCTATTTGTCGGTAAATTTTCCCGTTGTACATAAAGTAAGCGTTTTTCAGGCAATGTCTTGACAGATCCATTATGTATGGCGGAAGATCTTCGTTTTCTTCTATAAGCAAGAGTGCCTCTTCTACTGGAATACTCGCGTAGAGGGATTTGACATCGAAACTTGCCATAATGTCGTCCTTGTCCATCCTAAGAGAACCTAAAATCTGAGTGAAATGTTCTGAGTTTTTAACATAGGAATCTGCCTTTTCCACTATAGGCTGAAGTGCACTGGCCAGATGTTTTTCCAGCTTGCATAATGATGAGTTAAAGGCGCTTACGATTGGACGCAAGCTCACAAATGAGAGGAACAGAGATAAAGAACTGAAGAAAATTAGTACCTGTCTTCAACAAAACGGATACCAAAGGCGCACCATCAGCAAGGCAATCAGTAAACAACAACAGCCGCAGCAGAGAGTGCAGGACGAGACCCAACGAAGATCGATCGCTGTCCTGCCATACATCGAGGGGTTACTGACAAAATCGGCCGAATATTACGGAAACACGACATATCAACGGCATACAAACCTGACCATACCATCGGAGCAATACTAAGAAACCCAAAACAAAAAATTACTCTGGAAAACCAAGGAGTATACAGTGTAGCATGCGGATCATGCAGCCTGAAGTATGTGGGACAGACCAACAGAAGGATTTCAGCCAGGCTCGAGGAACATCGTTTAGCCATAAGAAACAAACAAACAACATCTGCTTTATTTCAGCACCAACATCAGACAGGCCATAAAATTGATTTCGGCACTTGCAAACAAATAGCTAAGATTCCTGATTTTAGGACTAGGATTATACTAGAGGCCATCGAAATAGAAAAGTCCGGACACCTCAATACGAGAGACGACGCTCTGCATTTATCCAATACGTGGAGAACGATAATCAAACAGCAGAGCGATGCGCAGCAGCCAACGGGGACATCGCAACTACGATCGGGCGAAATTAACAACGCGACAATTCGGGGGGCGGAGTCACCTCCCCCCACGCACAAGCAGTACCATTACCATCTCCGGCGCTGAGTATAAATACCGCACGCACCGCCGATAACCTCCCAGTGTTCGAAGTGTTTTCGCAGCGCGAGCATTGAAGATGCCAAGTGAGATTTTGGCGAAACGTCTGCAGGATTCCAGTCGGAATTCAACGAGCGAACGGATGATATCCCGGAATATAGCATCCTCAAAATTATTATGCGTAGTTGCCTAGAAACTGGTGATTAATTCTGCGAATGTTTAAAGAGTTGGTTATAATGCGGTTATATATATATATATATATATATATATATATATATATATATATATATATATATATATATATATATATATATATATATATATATATATATATATATATATATATATATATATATATATATATATATATATATATATATATATATATATATCCGTAAATGCAAATACCGAAAACATACACGCAAACATTTTACCTACATATATATATCAATGTTGTAGGAAAATGAATTTTCTTAGTGCCAAAGATATTTACCAGTAGTACGTTAAATATAATTTATTTTTAGCAATATTTGTTTCTTTTTAATCATTTTTCATAATTAAAACATTTATTGTATTACAATAATAATGCAATACAATTTATTTTGAAATACGCAAGGTGCCACTTTAAAACGTCAGCTTCATTAAACACGTTGTGCACAAATTTGCCGGTTGTAGAAAAAGTAATTACGGAATATTACGGAAACACGACATATCAACGGCATACAAACCTGACCATACCATCGGAGCAATACTAAGAAACCCAAAACAAAAAATTACTCTGGAAAACCAAGGAGTATACAGTGTAGCATGCGGATCATGTAGCCTGAAGTATGTGGGACAGACCAACAGAAGGATTTCAGCCTGGCTCGAGGAACATCGCTTAGCCATAAGAAACAAACAAACAACATCTGCTTTATTTCAGCACCAACATCAGACAGGCCATAAAATTGATTTCGGCACTTGCAAACAAATAGCTAATATTCCTGATTTTAGGATTAGGATTATACGAGAGGCCATCGAAATAGAAAAGTCCGGACACCTCAATACGAGAGACGACGCTCTGCATTTATCCAATACGTGGAGAACGATAATCAAACAGCAGAGCCATGCGCAGCAGCCAACGGGGACATCGCAACTACGATCGGGCGAAATTAACAACGCGACAATTCGGGGGGCGGAGTCACCTTTATACTTTATACTTTATATATATATATATATATATATATATATATATATATATATATATATATATATATATATATATATATATATATATATATATATATATATATATATATATATATATATATATATATATATATATATATATATATATATATAATCACCAGTTTCTAGGCAACTACGCATAATAATTTTGAGGATGCTCACTAGTTTTTGTTTTTTTTTTCAGTTCTCTTAAAAGGAATATATCGACATGCAAAGAACATAGATATAGAACAATCCAGTTCAAGCGAGATATCTTTGTTCGATCTCTGAGATAGTCATCCTCATTTGAAAATCATGTATCTATATCTAGTCCCTTTCTACCGGTAGGGTGTAAGGCTGGCATTTCTGCATGCCATTTAGCTATCGATAAAAAGTTTCCAGTCTTTTCTATTTAGTGCCAAGTTTTTAGCTTCTACCCATGTTCGTACCCTCTTTTTCAAAATCTTTCTCAATGTGCTGTCGCACGTTTCTCTGGGTCTTCCTCTTTTCCGCTTTCCCTGCATTTTACTCTGCCAAACTCTTTTAGCCGGTACAGAACTGCCCAATCTCTGTAAATGGCCCCACCAGCCAAGTTGTTTCTTTTCAATGAATTCTTCTATAGATTCCACCTTTAACTCTTCTCTTATAAGTGCATTTCTAATTTTGTCCCTTCTGGTTATTCCTTTCACTCTCCTCACGTATTTCATCTCTGCTGCTCCAATTTTGCGGTTGTCCCTATCTGACAATATCCAAGATTCGGCGCCATATATAAGGATTGGTCTGTAAATTGTTTTGTAAACTTTCATTTTAGTTTCCTTAGAAATTTCCTTTTTATGTATGAGTCCCTTACTCAATGCATAGTATTCTGTCCGCCTGTTTCTTCGAACATAATTCCCAAGTACTGGAAGCTACTAACTTGTTCTATTAGTTTCCCACGTATTCTCACCTCTAATTTTTCTTTTTCTTTTGACACTGCCATAACTTTGGTTTTATTTATGTTCATTTTCATTCCGTTTTTTGTTAGTATCTGATTCCAATTAATCACATTTTCCTCCAGATCCTTCGAGGTTCCTGCTATGATCGTTATATCATCGGCGAAGACACATCCCACACACATCCCACATCCGATATGTTGGTACGCTCTAGTTGTCGGTATCCAACGTAAAGGTTTTTTGATCGCTGTTCTGCCATTCTAGTTAGATCGTCCATAAAAGTTATGAATAATAAAGGGCTCAAACTACTCCCCTGTGTCACTCCTTCTTGTGTTATAAATGCCTTTGATCTCATGTTCTTACTTATTACGCAATTTCTTGTATATACATTTGATAACTCTTAATAGTTTATATTCAACGTTTCTGGCTTGTGGTTTTTCTAAATTTTTGTTCGCGGTACTTTATCAAACGCTTTTTCCATATCTAAGAATGTCACGTATACTGCTTTAGATCTTGCCAATTTTCTCGAAATTATTTGTTTTAAAGTGAACACGTGATCTTGGGTACTTCTGCCTTTCCGGAACCCACATTGCGTTTCTGTTAAGGTTGGTTCTACTTTTGATCGTAGTCTCTTTTCAACTACTTTCTCGAACAGTTTCAGTGGTATACATAGCAGTGATATTCCTCTAAAATTGTTGCAGTTCTTGTTATCTCCTTTTTTGTGCAGTGGTAGTATTAAACCCATTTTCCAATCTTCCGGTATTTTTTCTTCTACCCATACCATAT